GCGATCAAAGGTATATCTCTGTCGAAGTCGTCGTATTTGATGACTAAACCATTGTTGGCGTTCGTGTAGTCTAAATGGTAGACAACGTTGTGCTTAATTGGTATAAACCTCTCGTTGAATGGGTTGTTGGGAATGTGCGCCAAACTATTGATTGTGAAATCCCGTAACAGAATCCACTCTTTGGGGTTGTATTGAGTGACTGATAAGAACTCTTTCAACAGCTTCTCAAATATAAGGATCAGTCGCTGTTCGGGGAAACTGTTGTTCAGTTTAATTGTGTCGTGAATTTTGCGAAATATGTCAAAAATAGAGGCCTTTGGGCTGTGGCTCAACAAAAACCTGCAATCAATGCGACAAATATTTCAGTTTAAAAACCTACACATTTGACTGCGAATGGAGTGGACATACCTGAGCGCCCGACCGAACTCCTCAATCACCGTGAAGTTGGTGTTCGTGATGTGTCGGCTCATCATCTGAACTAATTTCATGTACTGATCGCCGGTCAGAAAATTGCCGATTTGTAAAATACGCGAATCGGACGTCTCGTGCGTGGGTTTACCCTTCATATAGTCGGCGCCCATCGACTCCATCTCATCCACCACTTGCACGGGCGGAGTGGGCACTGGAGTCGGCGCTTTGGGTTTAGTCAACGGAATCATGTCAGCGAACAGGGATGAGGTGGGCGTAGACGACATATAGGGGGCCACTGTTGCCACCTGTGGTTTGACCGACGGGTTCGCCGCGGGAGTGACTGTGGCCTCGAACTGTCGTCGATGAGCGTCTCGAGTCACCTGCAAAACGATCCTCTGATCGATGATTACATTCGTGGCTCTGATGCCGATCTGGATGTCCTCTTCCATGAGGTGATCCCTAATGTCTTTCACTAAAACCCATCGAAGTTTTGTCAACAATTGTGGCTATAATTGCATTAAAAGTACATTAATTTACATTCAAACTCAACACACATCTCAACATTATCTCAAATGCCAATCCATACCACAGTCTTAATCCTGGTCTCGTCGATGAACTTCTGAATTTCAATGATAATAGTCTCCCAGAAGTGCTTGAGTTTGGTCTTAACGTTGAAGACGTCTCGCATGAGATTCTGAAAGGAACTGATTTGAGGGCCTTCTATGTAGACAGTCCTCGGGTCGTAAGCGTTGTACACAATGGCGGGGAACCAGTCTTTGGCGATGTCCAGCAACTGGTCCTTGTATTTGCACATATCGGCGGACTTCACGTCTTGTTTCAGTTCATTGTACGCTTCCATTGGCTTACGTTTGATGAGCAACTGGTGGACCCGTTCCCGGAGTGGTATTGCATTGTCTCTCCTCGAGCTATAAGACTCTTCACTGTTTGTCCGCATTTTCGCGAGTCTTCTCAGCCGCGGATCCGTTGATGTGTTTGCTGTCAATATTCAACAAACACTGTAAACACACTAATAGTCAACGCAAGGGTTGTCTACACATACCATCATCGGAGTCATCATTGGTTAAGTGGTCGCCCCTATTGTTGGTGTCGTTATCCTCTGTGGACACTTCGATGGCTGTCGTCGTCTCCTTCTTAACCCTGGGATCAGCTTTGCTTTCCGTCGTCTCATCAGCGGTTGA